CTCGATGCTACAAGAAACAGTACAAGTAACAATGTTTATTAACATACCTGTATAAGCAACCATCAAACAAAAACAAGCAATCAATAACAAATTCATTCCGATTGAATTTGTGAATTAAAACAACGAAGTTAACGTTGCGAATAAAGTATCAACACCAAAAATAGCTGCTTCTTCGTTCTCGCTAGCAAGGCACCGCCTAAAATAATTGTAAAAAACAACATACCTCTACAGTATATAGTTTTTATTCTGATTCATTCTTCCGCTTAATACTGTTGAAAAAAATCAATAAATTTGTGTCAGACTGCTTGTAATGTTTTATCAGATCGTAAATGCAAAATATCTCATAAAAAAAAAAAAACTTCAATACGAATAAAATTTCTTTTGATAAAATTAATGCTAAGGTATGCAAACAGTGTAAATGCGTTCGCATTCTCAGTAGTCGTCACAACACGACGAATTCGTGCATTCTACAACTTTAGCGTTTTACAACAATTTTTTTAAACTATATTTTTGTATACTCACAACACATAACATTGAATCAGGTGATCAACGAATCATTAATGTGATATCAAAATAGCACTTTAACGGTAATATATAATATTATGATCATTTACATCGTCGTATATTACTTAAGATTGCGCTGCACAAAATACCTGCGCTTGTCGGGGCTGTAAAAGTTTCATCAAATCCAAATATTTCTCATCCAATGGTTTTATTTTGAATATATTTCAATAAACACATTTCAGACTCATATCTTATGTTTTTACCACTCTTACTGAAATTTCAAACCAAAACATTTTCAATATTGAAAACAATGTATTGAAAAATGGGTTTCGAGTTCGGGGACTGTCTGTGTTAGCAAAGTGAATATTACCCCTGCCCATAGGTTTCAGTCCCTTTACACAACTTGATGTTAAATTGGCGAACAAAATTAGTTACCTCCATATTGGTACACACACTTCTGGAGTTCCGAAAAATGTGATAAATCATAAATAACAGAAAATATATCTGATTATGGGTCCCTCATGAATCGCCCACTACATACATCTTTTTTTGTTATGAATTGGGTAGAGCAGTGGTTCGAACCTCTTTTTCAAGCAAACCAAAATTTTTTTCAAAAATAAATTTTGTAATATCCCATGACTCAAGTATAGGCATGTAGTGCTTTCAAGGTCGAAACATTACAACATAACTAATACAAAACTATCGTTTTTACATAATTTTCAATTTTCCCAGAAATTATCACAAAGTAAGAAAGCTACGCATGTCGGGAGCTTTCGTGGCATGACTGCACTTAGCACAATGATGCCTCCATGTTTTTGAGTCACGATGCTTTCCACATACATATTGAGCAGCTCATCAGTATCAATTAAAAAATTAACAAAGAAAATTCGGTTTTCCTATGCACCAAGATGGCGCACAGTCTGAGCATATTATGTGTACCAGGTTAGGATTCAGGTTGTGCGCCATCTTGGTGCACATACTTCGGGAGCTCCAAAAATTCCAACGAAATATAATCAGTAATATTTGGGATTTTGTAAAAAAGCGACCCACTGTGACTTTCAGAATTTTCTGGGGACCCTGTTTTAGATTGAGATCCATTACTGTAGTAAGGTATATATGATGAACCAGTAAAACGGTTTTTTAAAAAAAGTTTTTTGTTCAAATTTGAATTGGAGCTTAGCTAGGGTTTTGTTAGGAGTAAGCTTTGTTAGGAGTAAAAAGTAAGTTTCGCGTCATATTTTATAATAAAAATGAAAGTAATACTAGTCGTGTTTTAAATGAATCTCTACAAAAATCGAAAAACGCATAGCTTCAGTTTAAGCGAACTCGCCAAAGAATAAACGGAGCTTCCGGAGTATGTGTACCAAGATGGCGCACAACCTGAATATAGTATGTGTACCCGGTTAGGGTTCAGGATGTGCGCCATTTTGTTACACATACTTTGGGAGCGCCAAATAAACAATCTGAACCTTTATTGACAATGCGCATTATGGCTCTTTAATTACTTTTTGCCTAATTATTGTTGTTTTGGGGGTTGCTACAGTGAAAAAAATCAGTACCTAGGGTTGCTTGCAGTCCTCTATTTCCAAAAACATTTCATTAATTTTATTATTTATTGGGGGTTTAATAATTATTTTAAAAAATATAGTACTTTTATGAGTAGTGATGGAGTATTAAAGAGTTGTCAAATACGCGAAGTGAAGAATTTAACGAAAAATATTGGGAACTCCTGATTGGTCAGCTGTCACGTGACTGAAACCAATCTGACCGATCCAGACGGCTATTCAAAATACGACGCTCAGGTAGTATGTGTACTAGGTTGTACCATGATTTTATTCCAATTTTCTATATTTTAGTTCTATTACGAGTTCGAGACTATCTGTGTTAACCAAGTGGTTATACCCCCTGCCAATAGTGTCCAGTCCCTTTATATAACTTGATGTATAAAGTAGGCGAACAAACTTAGTTCGTTACCTTTGGCACGAATTGTCTATCTAGATTTTTGCGGGCTTTGTTTACTTATGTCGCAAGTAACGGCACAAGACGAGCTTTGATCATAGTGAATGATTAAACAGGTAAAAGCATGATTTTATCAGAGACTGCTAAAATGTTTGCGAAAAGTCTACTGTTAGCCTACACTGCCTAACACGACGACCATAGTAGGCGTAGAAATGTTTGAACTGTAGGTCGATGCAGAAAGTTATTCAAAAACGATTAGGTATCTAAATATTGGTATGCTAAATTAAGAAATTGTCGTTGCAATGGATAGCATGTATAAGCACAGTGTTGCTGCATTTGTAGTTAGGATATAG